GCTTTATGAAAATCAAATGTCTCTTGAGGCAGCTTGATAGCTTTAATTCGTGCTAAAACGGCATTGGAAGCAAACTTAACTTCTACTTTTTCATTTATATCCAGTGTGAGCAAAAATTGAAGCATGAATTCCACCCAACTTCGTGAAAACTCTCTTTCACTAAGCCTAAGGCATGGTTAGGGGTGCGGACTGCCATCAACATCATGGTAAATCGAAAGGAAGGAGGAGGTGTCGTGAAATTCAATTTGGAGCCTACCCGTTCCTCCAGTTCCCTGTGATTTCAGACCTTCTATCTTGGCGGTATACAGTTTTGATGGCTCAATAATGAACCTTGGAAGTGAGATTGCTCAAAACAATGAAGCCTACTTGTCCACAATTTGAAGGTGATCCTTTCTGAAGCAAAGCAATTCATTCACACAAGAGTTGTAGGCCATCTTCAGCTCTTTCGATGCACTTTTCGTAACTAGATTAAGGAGTGTTTTGATACTAGACAAGTCTTACCAAAGTCTCTTAGATGAACGTATTTCCTTAGATCTTCAATGAAGCGACGATGTTCGAGGATCATGTACTTCCGAAGGTCTGCGAAAAATGTTTCAACGTCTAAAAGATTAAAAAAGGGGAAATGTAGTAGAGTGCGAAAGTGAAAACTTCCCTGTCTGAAGTAATCAGTTGGGACTGTCATGGCAAAGGATAGCTGAAAAGAAGCTTCATGAAGTTGATTAGACCAAAAAGTGGAAAAAAGCAATGGTGAAACGTGGGACATTCAAGATCATTTTCAATGCGTGAACTAATGGTGATGGTCCAATGCTTTACTTCATGATCCAGTGGCTTGAGATTGGGACACACCTTTAAAGTGTTCGATTCCGAGAAGGGCATCGAATGATTGGAGACTGACGGACTGGCCGGCACTGGCGCCCATGTAGACCCGTTTCTTCGGGATAGTTTCTCCACTGAGATCACCTGCTTCAGCGCCTGTGAGAACACTGTCCGGCACACCCTCATACACCAGTCCCTTGGATATTTTCCCGTGAGACCATCTGGCAAATAATTAATCAGATTGGTAATGAAATCAACTGTGTACAAGTTGGGCAGTGGCAGGCTCGTAGAAAGATAATTAAGAAAGATTCATCTGGCCGAGATTCTGCTTAGCGCCATAGAAGCTTTGTCTTAGTTAATGCCACTTTAATAGTATAATAGTAGTACGTTATAAAATCTAAAATATCGTACTTAAAGTCCGGTAAATAAAATGAGCAGAGCTTTCAAATAGACTAAATAAAGGAGCGTTTAAATCGGTTGCAATTACCCGGAGAGATATGGCCGCAAGTCACAGTAGAAAGCCCTTGGATCCAATTCCTCTATTAAAAGGGAAGCATAAACACTTGGTTAGTAGGTGGGAAGTGCTTGAAGTTAAGTGCCAGAAATAAGAACTCACTAAGTGGTCAAAGCGCAAGTCAAAAAATCCAAATTAGTCGGCTAAGGCCGAGCCTTCAAAATCGCTATCAGTTGGTATTACCAAAGTTGTTGAGAAATTTTCGCAACGGATCGTCATGCATGGCCTCCTGTGACTTGGAGTTGACACTTTTGGCCAATAAGCATAAGTTTGCTTGATAAACCTTCTTTGATGATCGACCTTAAAAAACGGTCTAAGCCAGCTCTGTTTATGGAAATGAAATATTTGTTCAATGAAGTAGAACTGGGACGATTTTTTGCCCTCTTAGGGCATAGATATATGGGACGGTTTATAGAACCGCTTGTAAGTAGCAAGTGCGATGCTAGTTTGCTTAAGAAACTTTGCAGTACCATTAAGGCATTGTATCATAGGCTGAGCAGCTGTCAGTGCCTTCCAAAATTGCCTTTTTAAGCTTTAAACGAGAGACTGAAATAGTGGTCCTTCCGCCCCACCACTAGCCATAGATGCGAGAGGGTTTGAATATGCCCATTCCATTTGGATTCAAATCTCGTAATTTATTACTTACGGCAAATTGACTCAAAAGTTTGC